TAATATTTCTTTATTGATTTTGAGAGAAAGAGGAAGGGAGAGGGGGAGAGAGAGAGAAAAAGAAACATCAATGTGAGAGCAGAACATTGACTCCTGCACACCCCCTACCTGGGATTGAGCCCATAACACGGACATGTGCTCTGACTGGGAATCAAACCACCAACCTTTCAGCGTGTGGGACAATGTTCAACCAACTGAGCCACAGCGGCCAGTGCCTGGCAGTGGTTTTCTTAAAACAGATCTGAGGATTCATTCATTTGTAGCTCTGCAAGGAGGCTCTCAGCCAGCCTCAAATCGTCCACCACCATACCTCCTCGCCAACCATGCCCCTACATCAAAATGAATGTAATAGCCCTGGTCCACCAACACCAGACCAGGTATCAGCAGCCAAGAAATCAGAGAACATCCCAAGGCTCTGCCACACAGTGCAAACAAAGGTGAGGGTGTTAAGCAGGGATGTGAAATAATCTGCTGCAATTATGAAAATGGAATAGAAGCAGCAAGACTGGAGTCAAAAAAGACTAATTAGTAGACTTTTGTAATAATCCACAAAGAATACTGTGACCTTAACTAGGGCAGTGGAAATAGGGATAGGAAGAAGGCAATGACCCTGAGAAAGCTCTGGGAGGAAGACTCAACAGGATCTGGCAACTAACTGGTTATGGCTAGAGAAAGGAACCAAGTTTGATTCTCAGGTTTCTGACAGAGCTATGAGTCAGTATCTGAGGGAATGCTGGAGGTCTAGTGTTGAGAGAAAGCTAACCCTTGAGCTTTTAGGGGCCCATGGACATCTAGACGGGGATGGAGAATAGGAGCTGGATATGAAGGCTTAGAATTCAGACGGCAGATGGAAGTGTCTTTTTTCCAGTGGGATCTCTGCTGCCATGTCAGTTTCCATTTCTCAGTTGCAGAAAAAGATTAGTAAAGGGATAGTTGAATCTATGGCAAAAGATGAGATCACTCAGGTAAGTGTGAGTGTGCAGAATAAAAAGAAAAGATAGCTAGGACAGAGATCAAAGAAACACCAATATTTAAGAAACACAGAATTTAAGAAAAAAGGAAAGAAGCATCCATAAGACACTGTGAAGGAAATGCCAGAGGGAGAGGAGACAGAAAAATAAAGATAAAGAACATTCCAAGAAGGATGGAATGGTCAGGTCAGCTCTGCTGAATGATGCCAAGAGGTCCCAGCCTTTCATCTATATCCTACACTCTCATCTATATCCCACAGGACTCACTACGCCAGAGTTCTCTCCTAGGTGGGTGATTCCATTACTATGGGACTTCATTCCAGGTGACTATAGTTCTTCAACAGACTTGGCCACTTGACTGCAGCTCTGAGGGCACCCTCAGTAGTCCCCACTGAGTTCATCTCCACCAAATAAAACTGAGTAATCTCAGCAAGTATCTTTTAATCTCCAGATTTCCTAAAACCTGAAGTGTTTCAGGTCCACACTGCACAGCACCAACAGAGGGGTGTAGTGTGCACACCTCATGAGAAAAGCAGCCCAGCATTTACACTTTCAACCTCCAATGGAAGGAAAACCTATTCCAGAGCTGAGGCTGAGCTTGGTGAGGGTCCTCACAACAGGCTCTGAGCAGCCCTAGACCCTGCTCTACCAGAGCAGTGTCTGATTATCCTGATCCTCTCCAAAGGTCCTCTTCTCAGACTGCACTGAGGACCCGGCTTTCCTTCATGTCAGCTCTTCCCTACCCCCTCCATTTTCACTCCCACCCCCATCTTTCTCTCTTCTTGATCTGCCCCTCTTCTCAGACTCACAGGCCACTGGAAAAGACTCTGGTCTAGCTTCTCAGCTACTCTGTGCTGTTCAGTTGGTGAACCCAGATCTTCACACTCAGGGCTAAATTCTGAATTTCTCAAGGGTGGCACCTGTGCTGGTGTCACTCCTCACTCTGCACCAGCTCTACCCTCCCACCACGCCAAAGATGGAATTCCTTTACAGAGACATTCCTGCCTAGGTAAGAAGAGAAGAGAGAAAATTGGTGAAAGAACACTACACCCCATGAGGAGCTTCAAAAAACACAAGGTAAGGCAGAGCAAAGGTAGGTCAGGTAGGGAAGGCAAGTAGACCAAGGGCCAATGCCAGAAAAAGTGTCATACCTTGAACATATTTAGAGAGAAAATTAAATCTGCACTTACTAAATTAAAACCCTCCTAAGCAGGATCTGTGACTATAGCATCGAAGCCCATGTAAACCTGGAGTATAAACTCATCCAGTTTTGACAAAAGATGGACACAAAATGATTTTGTCAGGATGGGAGATTTCTTTTCTCCAGTGGGATTTCTGCTGCCACTTCAGTTCCCATTTCTCAGTGCTTCACTAATCAGGCCTTTCCAACAAAAGTGATGTGAAGCTGGCTGGGGGAAGCGGGGGTTGGGAGAGACAGGAAGGACAGCAATGAGGAGCCATGGCTCTAGGAAACTACAGTGGGAAATGAAAATATTTGCTGAATTCCTTAGACTTAGTTAAATCTGAAAATGGATGTCAAAATAAGAACTAAGCCACATACTAACAAGTTGTGGGTGTCAGTCAACCACCACCGTTGTCAGACTCATCATCAGCCTTTACCAGGAGCATAAAAAGGTGAGGGCTCTGACGAGAGCCATATGACGAGAGGTTCCAGGAACACTGATAAGCTGTGCGCTGTCACGCAGCACTACTTACGTTTCCTCTCTGGCTGTTTTTATTTTGTTACACATTTAATTAAGAGGCTTCCCAGCAGTTACGCGGAGTCCTGCTTCTAAAAGGCAGCCACAGAGCTCTCCTCCCCCAGATCCCTACCGCCTGACATCTGCTTCCCCCTGCACACGTCTTCAGAGCTCCAGTGGCTTTCCCAACCCAAACCCAAACCAGTGCCTCAAGTCTGCCCAACCCCTTTTTCCTTTTTGGAAGCAATGTGGTCTTAGAATTCAATTCTGTCCAGCTTTGAGTCTTTACCAATTTGAGTCTCAGTTTTTAATTTTATTTTGTCCTTTTCAGCTATAAAAAGGATACCATCTCCTACCAGAAAAGATAGGAGAACTGAATGACATATGGTTATGTGCTCATTAAAATGTGGTTCCTTTTCATAAATGCTTGGATTCAACAACCTAATCCTTCCTCTTGATCACATCTTCTAGATAACATAATTTCTTGTGAAGATATAGAGCGGCCTCCTGATTCATCAAAATCTGCCAGGGCCCACCATGCTGTAGGCCAAAATGGGCCAGACTCCAAGCTGAGGGGGCCTAGCCACAGTCCCCAGCCTCATACCCAGGAAAATTTTCATAGGCATATACAGGATGGGGCAAAGGTAGGTTTTGTGTGGAAAATAATACAATAATAAACTCTGTTTCACGTACTCACAAACCTACTTTTGCCCCACGCTATGTATGTACATGCCAGTCATAGTTAACACAAAAGATTCTGAAATTCGGGAATCTGGGACATGAACACGCCAAAGACAGGCAACCACTAGAAGAGTGGGAATCCTGGGAGGCTACCTGGAGGAACCAGGCCTCTGGACTAGACCACATGAGCTTCAGAACTCTTGAATATCACAGCCTGCACCCTGTCCCACCCCAAATAGCTTCTCATGTGCTGTGGAGCCCCACGTAAGTCCCTTTTCTGCTTCAAGTGCACAAAGCTGCCCAGTATGCCATAAACAACAACAGCCTTCCTCCTCCTTTCTCCATGGAACCCTCCTCTGATTCATATCAGCCCAGCCTGTACAATTTCCCTGACAAATGGGTATCATCCGGGAGAGCAGAGATCCTCTGGAGTTCTGGGAGCTGTGTGTGTAAGCCTGAAGGTGTGTAGCCAGTGTGTGTACATGACCTAAGGGATGTGGGAAATGAGGCATGTGGGTGTTTATGTGACCTGGGCTTGTTCTTCCTCCTGTCTCACCTAGAGAGTTGGTGTCCAACTGCAGGCCTGACACCCACCAAGCTGGGTACCTAACTTTGCCTCAATGCCCAGCATCCAAAAGGCATAAAAAGGACCTTGGTGAGAAGATAATGCCTGATTTGGTAGGAAATGTCACTCCCAAACCACTACTCCCAACTCCCCACCAACACCCCACCCTATGCTCAAAAGCACAGGCATAAGCTCGTATGTGTACACACACACACATAGTGCTTGCTGGCACCTTCAGTCACAAAGAACACAGTGTTATCGATTCTATCAATCCTCAGCAAATAATGCCCCCACCACCTCCACCCCACTGTAGTTCCCTGGGGGCTGCCTGAAGCCAGGTATCCATGAGGATAGACAAGAGACAGAAGTGTCAGCCCAGCAAAGGAACCAGTTTTGTCTTCCAGGATCAGGAGACAAAGGAGAAAAAGCAATGGGACAAAGAATAGAGGAGGCTGGTGACTTAGGCAGCTTCCTAGAAACAACCCTCTCTCATCCTACCACTGGGATCTCAGTTGGATCATCAGGGCCTTGTATCCCAGATAAGGGAATAGCACAGTGTAACGGTTAAGAAAAAGGACCCTGGAGCTAGGTTGCCTGGGTTTGAATCCTGGACTGTGTGTTCTTGGGCAAGATACTTCACCTCTTTGTACCCTAATCTTCTCATCTATAAAAGTAGAAATAATAAGAGTACCTATGGTTATAAAATGAGTTACTATTTCTAATGCACACAGAATAATAAATACTATGCATTTGGTTAAAAAATAAAGACCTTCTTTTAACTCCTTCCTTCCAGGGCAATGCCACGTAGCCCTGCAACTGAAGGGCTGTCCTAAGTAGTAAGACCTGGCAAAGGCAGGAAGGCCCCAACAACAGCAGTCCCAGTAGAGTCCTTGATCTGTCCATTCCCTGCTTCAGAAGCAGAAGGCAGGGCTCCCAGCCCTCTTCTCATCCCGGCAGGCCCAAAAACCCAGGGACTCCCTGACCCAGCTGGCCTGCATGTTTGGGCATTTATTTCTGTAAAAAGCAAGAACTGGTCCCACAGATTCCAAGCCCTGCCAGCAAAGTAGCCCCTCTCATACTCACATGATTTTTAAGTCCCAGTCTCCGCAGGTGACAAAAATTGACTTGACGTTTGGATCTAAGAGGCCTTCCTTCGCCATCCACTCATCGACCCTCTGAAAAGTACACAAGAATAGATGAGATTTTCCTATTTTTCCCCCTCCCAGAGCCTGTGAAGAGCCACAACAGTGAACCGCAGATAAGCTGCTTGTAATCAGAGCAGGAGAAAATTGTAATCTTATCCAGCCATGGCTCAGCTCTGGGCTCTCAGCCTTGGCTCAGAACTGAAGGACAATCCCTGCAGGAAGATCCCACAAGCCCAAGTGTTGGGGGAGGGGGAAAGGAGACCCTCCACACCTGTTACCTGGCAGCCTGCCCCAGACAGGATAAGGACAGATACCAGTAAATCAATTCAAATACCTTTGGCCCTCAAAGGCAGAGTCTAGCATAGACATAGGCTGTCCTGGGCCATGAGAACAGGCTAGATTCCCAAGCAGGAACTCCAGTCCACAGGTTCATTCATTCACTTACTCATTTTACCCTCCTACCAAATGTTTATTAATCAAACTTATGAATTTGGTTATTCCCCAAATGAAAGTGAAGTTGATTTCCACCATGTGTCTAGCAGAAGCAGCCTCTTTGCTGGGCGGAAGCAAAGCTTATAACCAGCCCCAGACTTTACATCTCTCCTCTCCTCATTGAGGATTCAAGTTCAGTGGATTCTTTTGAAGGCTGAACTCAATTCCTAGGCAGGGAAAGAAACTGCTCCTAAACACCACTTTAAGTCTAGTTCTCCCTTCATCCCTTTGATGGGTTTTATTATTTGCACTCACACTAGAAGTACAAATACTAAAAATCAGTATATAATGACAGAATTATCATTAATAATTCATGAAGCATCGCCTATTTTTCAGACGATCCCAGGCATGGGGTAGGAGTGCAACAGATCACACCACTGCTGCACTCACAGGATTATTGTTAAAGACCATATGGCACAGTAGTTAGAGACACATGATTGAAAGTCAGATACATATGCGTTCTAACCTTGGCTCTTCAATATCTTGGCTGTGTCACTGATGAGAAGTTAAAAGTCATTTAATCCCTCTGAACTTCAGTTTTCTTCATCTATAAAACGAGGTAGGATGACTAACCTTACAGGTTGTTTTGAGAATTAAATGTAGTAATGTATTTAAGTGCCTACCACAAAATAAACAGTAGGCTAAGAAGGGGAGAGAGGTAGAGCATCATAATACAATTTAATAGATGAAGCAGTAAGGAAGTGACCAGAATGCTGTAGGACCGAAAGGAGGAAGTGGCTAGTCTACCATTCACAGGGAAAGGAGTCAGAAAGACTACATAAGGAAGATAACTGAATTAGGGGCTTGGTGATTGGGTTTGCCTCACAGGATGGAACAGAGAAAAGGATATTAAAGGCAGAAGCACAGGCCCAAACATTTTGTATTTTAGAACTAATTATCTGTTGAATGTCTCTCTTCCCCACCAGACTATAAGCACCATGAAGGCAGGAACTCTTACCTGTCTTAGTCACTGTGGTAATCTTTAACCCAGAACAGTGTCTTCTCAATAGATATTTCAGATTGATTGAAATATAAGTAGAGAGTAATGTGACCACAGTCCGCAGAGTATAGGAAGGAGGAACAGGAATTGAAGCTGGAAACTAGGTTAGGAGACCCTTCCAGCTACTGAAGGTCTAGAGGAGCCCAGCCTGAGCCTACTTAGAACATCTAATTCAGATGGATAGATGGATGGGTGGACTATGGATGGATAAATAGATGAGTGGATGTGTGGAGCATGAATGTGTGGATGGCTATGTGGATGGATGGATAGATGGATGGATGGGTTTTCAGGAGCCTAGAAAGTTCATCAAATGACTCTGTCTTGGGATGAAGGAATGACCACCATTCACTTCTGTATCCTCTCTCTCTCTCTGCTGGCTCCAACAGCTCCAGGATGGACAAGGGAGGTGGGGGATGGCCAGGCCAAATGAGCGAAGTGAAGGTGAAAAAAATACGAAGAACTAATGAGTCAGGCAAACACTTAGCTAGACACCTGCTCAGGGCTTTGCTTAGGACAAAAAGTTAGCTCTTTAGCTCTATAAATAACTTAGGGCTAATGAGACAAAGCAGAGCCCAGTCTGGTCTCTTATCTTGCCAGACTCCCTATTCAGGCCAATGTCAGAAATCTTCCCTCTTCCCCATAAAGTATGCTGGAATAGCAGAAAGCCCTTCCTGGGTGAGACTCAGAATCCTCTGAGCATTCCTATCTAGGGCTGGCCTTCTGAAGACTACATCTCCTCCTCAACTGGCACCACTGAGGGAAAAAAACCTCTTAACCCCACCAGTCCTGGTGTGGTACTAGCCTAGAACCAGCATCTTCCTCCTAGGACCCCAAACAGAGACATTCCAAGAACAAGCAGCCTATCTTTTTATTTTATTTTAATATATCTTTATTGATTTCAGAGAGAGGAAGGAAGAGGGAGAGAGAGATAGAAACATCAATGATGAGAGACAGTCATTGATTGGCTGAGTCTTGCACACCCCCTGCTGGGGATCGAGCCCACAACCCCGGGCATGTGCTCTGACCAGGAATCCAACCAAGATCTCCTGGATCATAGGTTGAGGCTCAACTGCTGAGCCACGCCTGCTGGAAAGCTGTCTGTCTTAGAGCCTCCCTCAGGAGCCAGGCCCTATCTGGGGATGCTGGCTATAACATAGAGAAGGATAGGTCCCTTCTTTCTACTTGAGTCTGGTCCTTTGGGGAGCAGTCCATGCTGAGGAGGCCCTCAGTCACAAGAGAGAATCTTCTATCAAAAAAAGAGGGTCAATGGGGTTGGGAGAAACTGTAGAGCTCATCTTATCTTTTCCCAACCTACTGCAGGTACCCTAACCCTGCCCCTGCCCAGAGCCTGACTGGTCACAGAGCCTAGGCTTGCACACTGTCAGGTACAGGAAACACACTCTGCCTAAACCCTTCTCTCTGGCCCTGGCTCCATCCTGAGGAGCCCCAGGAAATTCAGTTTGCATTTTCCCTCCCTGTGGGACAGGCCCTCTTGGCTAAATAAACAGTTCCTCCCTCTCCCTGCCACCACCCTCCTTTCTCTAGGCTACCTACCTCCAAAGCAGATGTGCCCTGCTTTCCCCCAGAAAGTCTGCTTTCTCCTGTGCTTTCACAGGGGCTCAGCTCTGGGTGTTTTGGTCTTAAAGATAAATAAAGGACCCAAGGACATCCACAGGCTTTTTATCTTCTCCCGGCCCCCAGAGAGAAGGGAGTGGGAAGGGGAACTTCTCCCTCTCTGAAAACCCCCAGGTGGAGGGAGTTGGGAGACAAGCTGAGGCAGAGCACTGCCCTTCCTCTCTCCCTTAGGCTGGAGCACAAGAAGCTGCACCTTAACCTTTCCAGCTCCTAGAGGAAAACATCCTAGAAGTGTGGTCTCTGCCAAGGGTTCTAAAGCCTTTAATTTGATTTCCCTCACACAGGCAATTGTTGTAATTATTCTGATTAAGAATCATTACCCAGTACAGCCTCTGTACCCAACAAGCACAATGCGTCCAGCGGCAAGCTGCAGTGGGGCAGGCGGGCCCAGCTGCACCTCCTGGAGGAACCAACAGCAAACAAAAGCCATCGATGGGGAGTTCTGGGGGAGTTAATGAAGTGCTCACATGCCACAAGAAACCAACACTAAAGCTAAACAAAAACACCCCTCCAATCCCTGGAGCCAGTCCCACAGTGCCTCAGCTCAGCTCCCCTACTCCCCAGGCTGCCCAGCACAGGCTGCCCAGAACTAGCCAGCACTGGAAGGGGTGGGGTGGGGGCCCTTTGCCCACCTCCTGGAAGTACTGGGACATCTTGTCAGTAACCCTGATGGGAACAGCTGGAGATGACAGATCAATGGTTCAATACTCTCAACAGCATGTCACTGATGTGACAGCAAATGTTATTCTAATCAAGCCATAATCATAGTCAAATTACACAGCTATATTCTCAGGAGGGGAGGGAGAGAAAGGCAGCAAGAAGGGGTGAGAGGTCAGGAATTAAAGGTCACTCAACCTACCTCCAGCACTTGCTGCAGGCTTGGCTGACCATCCACCATGGCTTGAATAATCCCGGTGAGCTAAAAGAAAAGATGAAGAGCCAATGAATGGAAAACTCACAGCTGGGCTGAATCCTTTCCTTTCTGTTTCTCTCCTTCTACTGTAAAGAACTCTGACCTGCATTGCTTTAGGCTGAGAAGCTGACAGAAGCCTTGGGAATAAAGTCCCAGGACACACTGTAAACTTCCCAACAATATCCTGCCCTGAAATGGGGATACACATCTATGTGCTGATCACAGGGTACATCTCACACCCTTTTCAGCTTTCATTTGCAAAAAGAAAAAAAAGATTTTACCTGTCTTTTGTGCTTAATAGGCTCAATAACTCCCCACAAACTACAGCCGAAAGTAAACTTCCCTCCAAGCTTCACAGAAACTCCGGTCAGACTTAGGGAATAACCAGGCAGGACAGGCACACTTGGTTTCAAGTCCACCCTTCTCTGGGCCCCAAGGTCCAGCATCTCCCCCTCTAACACCAGTGAAGGGCCGGCGGAGTCCCACAGGCACCCACTCTTCACCCTGCATACCTGGGCCCTCAATACCAACTAGCCAAGCAGGAAACAGGCACCTTTAACTGATAGGGAAACTCAGGCAAAAAGGCCTAAGGTACAAATCTGGTCTAGAGAATTTCTCACTCACAGGCCTATGCTCCACCCAGGGCAGGCTTAGGTTGAAACAAGCTTGTTGCTTTGTTTTGCTTTGTTTTGAAGTGAAAATATCCCTCAAGGACAGACTAGAACATACTGCCTCAAGGATCTGAGGCAGGGGGTCCCCGTCCACAGAACTGGACTCAGCTAGGAATCACCGTGCCCACTGTGCCCCTGGCTACTTCCAGAGAGAGTAGCATCTAAGGCTTGCTTGGAAACTTCTTTTTTTTTTTAAGTGTTGGGGGTGCAGATTAAACTCCAATTAAACTATAATTACATTTAATGAATACCAAATACCCAACTCACAGAAACCGCTGGCACTAAGAGGGAAGGTTATTTTCTCATAGAGACTTACATGGAATGGTAATACACACCTTTCAGGGAAGAAATTTTCATTTTAAGAACGCTGAGTTCCTCTAGGTGGGTTTCTGTAGTTCATCAAGTCATTATTAGGTGGTATTTTAAGGAAGTGTAAGGACACAGCCACTCTATTTTATATTCCAGAAACTGTTTTTATATTAATCTGTATTTTAATTGGGTAACAGCTGCTGCCTACAGACTTCCCATGGTCTAAAAGGAAAATAAATTAGAAAGATTAACTACACTGTTGTTTCACAAGGCTTTAACCCACAGCATGCCCACCCGGCTGGCACCTCCACACCCTTTCCTTGCTTGGGAGACCAAAGAACTGCCCAGCAGAGGGAGGGCCTGAGCCAAAGAGAAGAAAAGAGGGTCTACTGAGGGCTGAGGAG